GCTCTGGAATTAGGATAATAACTGTCTTTTGCAATAACTCACAGTGTTATACAACTGCTAATTTTTAATGATTCCTTATGGTTTAATTGGTTTCTTTTGAGTAACAACTTCATGTGTCTTTATGTTGTCTTTGAAATCTAACTGAATACTTGTTATGATAGAAGCAACACTTAAACATTGTTGCATTAGTGAATGCAGGAGGAATAATGGTATAATCAAGTGCTTTTTTAAAATTAAAAATAATTTTAAATAAAGATATGTTAGAGTAATATGCCATTATAATCTCTGAGTTAATATTTTATGGAATTAATTCAACAAAATACATTAAATATAAAAAGTAAATCATTTGCATTTGATAATATTATACACCCTTTGTTGCCTCTTTCTTCACTGCCCTCTAATTATTAAATATAGCAGCAGACAGGAAGGACAGGTAATCACGTAAAATGATAGTTGTAATTAAGGCAACCATGTCATTTATTTCTGTTTTTCTTTCTTTTCACTTTCCTTCAATCGATAAAAGCTCTCAATTGAAATAAAACATTGTGTTTATGCTAATTTTCCTTTCTGTTTGATATTTTCCAGTTGTCTTCCTGCTGTGTACATGGTAATTATTCTCATTTTTAAGTAAAAATGTACTCTTTTCAAAGAAACATTTAGGGCATTGCTTTATTAGTTTTTCTTAAAGTTTGACACATAAAAGTGAATGGAAGTCACTCCTAACAATGAAATCTCTAATATTTCAACAATGCCAAAGTTTATTTTGTAAACTATCGATATTTTGAACTTACTTTGCAAGAATATGAAAACATTTATTAGCAGACAATGCCTTTGGAGCTATGAATTCCCCCCAGAAGCAATTGTGTTCTGTAAAAACTGTAATTTCCTATATAATTAATGAAAAACAACATACTGCAAAATGTTATTTTATTTAATAAGGAAAGGAAAATATTTCAATCTATTAAACTTTCCTGATTTCCGTAACTAAAATCTTACTACCTCTATTACTGTTACAGGGCAACCCCAATGGGAAATGGGTTGGTCTGAGTATGGGTCCTCACCCTGTGCTTAAAAAGGACTTAAAATGAGACTCAAATGCAGACACACACACAAGGATAATAAAGGGTTTATTTACAAATAAGGGGAAATGAAGAAAGGAATAACCCAGGGGGAAAGAGGGAGAGAGAGAAATTGGTGAATGTGCCTTACTAGTTTCGCTGAGCTGGGGCCCCAATAGCATGCTGAAGGCCAGCGAAAAGCTGGCAACCCCAAGGCTCACATGTCTGGTTAAATATCAGGCCTCGCTACTTAACTCCACCCTAACTTTCCAGCAACCCTCCCTTCAGTGGTGATGATGTTATGGGATTTGCAGTCCTTAGTGCCTTGGCTCTCTTTGGCCTGGGCCAGGAGTCCATAAAACTTGAGTTTGTGGAGTTGGTTCAGAACATCCTCCCCTTACAATATTACCATATAAAACAGTCTTACTCTCTTGGACTTTAAAAAAACGTGGCAGTGAATCCAAAAGCTTTGAAATATGGTTGGTTATTAGAACTTAAGTGGGTAGCCTCAAAAAAACCATAACACATTAGAAAAACGTCAGTTCTAACTAATATAGAATGTGTGGAAATGTGGAGGAAGGGAAGATGTTATCTCTTGTTTTTGAAGGAAGGTAATTAGGTAGATAATGAACATGTATGTTTAGACTTTGAACAGCTCTTAATGGGAGCTGTTCTGTGCTTTGTACAGCTATATTATCTTTCTAAGTTCCAGAAATGAAAGAATTCTCTTACATTAGAAATAAAGAATTATAAAATAATAGATTCCACATATTTTCTCATTATAGAAATAGATAATATTCATGCTAGATACATAAACTAATTAACTAATTAAAAAGACTCTGCCTAGGGCCTCCCCGGTGGCGCAGCGGTTGAGCGCTGGGTTGCGAAGCTGCCCGCGGCCTCTGCGGAGCCAGTTCGATCCCCGGCTGCTCCCCGGCCACCAGAGGAGGGTCCCACATGGCGCGCAGACCTCTCCTGCCGCCCGCTGCTCCCCTCAGCAGTGTACTTCGGTCCTTCTGCCTGCTCTGCTCCCCGCTCTGGCTCTGGTGAATTCTCTCGCCCTCCCGCGCTTCTGACTGTACCCAGTGCATGTATAAACGAACAAGCAAACAAACAAACAAATAAATAAAAACATGCCTCTATAAAAAAAAAAAAAAAAGACTCTGCCTATTCATCTCATTAATAAAATTTATTCCCAAGGAAATTGACATTTTGTTGAATAATTATTTATCAAAACATGCAATATTTATTTGGGTATCTTGTATACTAAAGATTGTAACCTGAATGATAACCCAATCCAGAAATATTTTTATACTTAGGGTTTTATGATTATGATGCCTTATATTAAAAAAAATAGTTACAGAAAAGTGTCATGCCATTCTAAGAGGTAAATGGTATAGAAAATGATTAATGTAAGCTCAATATTAGAGAAGGACCTTCTTAAATAGATTTAAATAAGTGGTTTTTTTTAAAAGATTTTATTTATTTATGATTACCAGACCTGGGGTACAGGCCAGAGGTGTGGGAGGTGAGAAGATTCATCAGAGACATGTGAGGAACAGAACAAGCAGACGAACTGAAATACACTGTTGAGGGGAGCAGCGGGCAAGACAAGGGAGGTCTGCTGCGCCATGTGGGTTGCTCCCTGGCTTACCAGGGGTCAAACTCGTGCTGAAGAGGCTGTGGATTGCTTCATATTGTGGTGCTTAACCCCTTGTGCCACCAGGGAGGCCCTTAAATAAGTGATTTTTATAACAATTTATGCTATTAGATTATTTTAGAATAATTTAAATATGGTGTAACAGTTTTCTTTATAAATGTAAATATGCTTTATATCATGTAGCCATTTAAAATTAAAGTTTTCATAGGTAAATACAGTGTAAAAGGGAGTACATCGATGCTTCAAATTATTTCAGATCATGTAAGAGTAAAATAATTTCAGTTATGATCTTTGCTAAGCTCCAAGAATAAAAGGGAGGATAAACAAATGCCTTCCCTAGAGTTGTCTTCAGGAATCGTTAGGGCTACAAAATAATTTGGTAACATCATGTCACAAAATGGGCCTAATGGATTTTAATAGCCCCAATTAAAAATGACAGTAGGGAATCAGCTTCTAATGACAAGAGAAATGCATTTAATATATGGAAAGAGCAGAGGTTAAAAATGTCACACGGAGGCACGAAACTACAAAGGTCAAGTCTCAGTTACCACAAGATATCTTCATCTCCGTATAACAGCCTGATAATGAACATAGGGGATAACTACAGAAATAGATGGATTCATGTATTTATGAGATATCAGTACATAGTTAAGGTCAATTTTCAAATCAGAAGAAAAGTATTGTTCTTTTCAATAAATGTAACTGGATGTTCATACCAATAATACCAGAAAAATAAAGTCAAATACAAAAATAACTTTTTATTTTTTAAATGGACTGTGATATCTAACACCATGTTGGTTCAAAGCATTCCTATCAATAGATACATCATTTTCTCAAAAATTCTAATCTGCTGTTATTAAAATGTTTGGGTCACAGTTCCAATTCCAGTTTCAACTAATAGTAAATCATAAATATGTAAGGCTTGGAAACTATTTCCATGATTAAGGTCTGTCTACCTTCAGATAATAGAGTCCATTATTAAGAGTTGTCATTTTTTGCTTGGTAACAACTTTGTAAATTGAGGTTGAGATATCAAATATAAGAACTGTCTAGCTATAGACTTTTCCAGATCCTGAATTAAGAAAGTGCTTTTGTGATAATTGGTCACATCTGGCAGTGCCACTTACATCATTTTACATGTTTAGAGTAATAAGTAGCTTGAAATATCAGCAAAAGAATTTTGCCTTCTGGTCACATCTCAAGTGAATACATTTCTAAACAAGTACAACACATTTTGAGCTATATTTGTAATGTATGATTTCCTATAAAATAAAATCTTAGCATTATCCATCTGCTTTTGTACTTAGCAAATAGAAAAATGCATACAGTGAGCAAGAAAGAAATAAAATTTAAGAATCAAGATAACCTTGACATTGTACTGTGTCAAAAATGTTCATTTATTTTACTGAAATTTTTCTATTTTTGGCATTCAGAAACTAACCCACAATTAGGAATATTAATCTTGGTAATTTTTCCTCTATCTCTCTACATACATGTAGACATCTTTAGTGATTCATAAATGTTACACAGATAAATATGCAGATAAATATGTCTGTGAATATTTGTCAATAAGTTGAGAAAAGCTGTTACTTAAATATCACAATTTTCTTCATGTTTTTACTGAAAGATTTCATATATCTCCATTATATTATTTAGGAATATTATACTTGAAAATGTAAGGAAGCACCATTATACTCTAGATTCCTGAAGAAAGCAAATATGGATTACTTTACAAAAAACATTGATATTTTGACTCAAGAACCAAAAAAAAAAAAAAAGGGAAAGGATGTACCAGTATATGTTTTAATTATCTATTGTCTCAATATATATTTATGATTTCTTATGGTCATCATTATGAAAGATAATAGGAAATGTGTTTGATTACTGTGGCAGTTAATTTTGTATGTCAACTTGATTTGACTAATAGTCACCCAGAAAACTGGTAAAATGTCATTTCTGGGTATGCCTGTGAGAGTGTTCCCAGAAGATAGTAGCATTCAAATTGGCAACGATCATCCTCATCAATTCAGGGTATCACTTGTTCATTGATGGTCTGAATAGAATAAAAAGTAGAAGGGTGGATGAATTTAATTTCCTTTGCTCAACTGTGGACATTTAGCTTCTGGGGCTCTGATATCAGCTCTGATACTAGTTTGCAGGTCTTCGGAGTCAAACTAGAACTTACACCATCAACCTCTCTTAATATCATAAACATCTCTGGTTCTTAGATCTTCCAAGTCATACTGAATTACACCACTATCTTTCTTTTTCCCAACTTGCAGACATCAGCTGATCATAGGACTTCTCAACCTCCATAAGTGCGGTAGTGAATTCTTATAACAGAAGTCACATGTATCTCTATCTCCATCTCTAACTAGATAGAGTTCTGTTAACAAGAATGCCAACTAACAAAGATTTTGACATTGAGAGTTGTTCTGGAGGAACAGAACTTTATGGGTAAGTTTTTTAAGTTTTTTTGGCATCTCAGGAATTAACTGCTTAATCTGATTATATATATAAATGTTAGTGTTGCCATACATTGTTTATGTGCATTGTGAATTTTTTGTAGAGCTATAAAAACAATATCTGCAATGGAATTTTTTTTAAAAGCAAGGACCAAAGAGATCTATATATGATACTTGCAAATATTTTTGGAAAGCTATGATGTTGGTGGGTGGCTCCTAATATCCCTAAACAAAATGATAAAAGTATGAGATCAGAGATTCAAATCAAAGTAGACTCCATGAATAAACTAAATGCATGTTTTATGGTGAAAAAAGAAAGAAGAAAGGAGAAAAAGTTTACTTACTAAGACCTGATATGTAGGTGTATAGGCTCGACTTTTTCCTAAAGACAATGGGAAATCTCTCAAAGGTATAAATAAAGGACTGTCATGCCCCAGTTTGACTTTTAGGAGTACTTGTTTGGCTGCTGAGTGGATATTGGAGAAGAGCAGGTTGGGAAATAGCACAAAGTGAAGAGGTTGCTGCAGAATTCAAAATAACAGATATTGGTGACCTGAGTTAGAGGAGTAAAAAGTATAGTATAGAGAGACATATATGAAGTGGAATAAATAGGATTTGACTGACTGGAGGTCATAATGAAGAGTCTGAAATGACTTCTGAGTTTCTGACTTGAGCAACTTATTGCACAGCAGTACCACTCACTGGTATATGACAAAGAGAGAACAAGCATATTTTAGACAAAATAATGAATTCTGTTTTGAGCATGTTGGGATTGAAATTACTGGAGAATATCCTTTGGTCCTTGAGAACTTTTTTGGAGGTTCTAGCAAGAGAGCACAGATATTTATCTACTCTTACTTGTAAAACAATTTTTTTTAAGATTTATGTATTTGGGCCTCCCAGGTGGCGCAGCGGTAGAGCGCTGGGTTGCGAAGCTGCCCGCGGCCTCTGTGGCGCCGGTTCGATCCCCGGCTGCTCCCCGGCCACCGGAGGAGGGTCCCACATGGCGCGCAGACCTCTCCTGCCGCCCGCTGCTCCCCTCAGCAGTGTACTTCAGTCCTTCTGCCTGGTCTGCTCCCTACTCTGGCTCTGGTGAATTCTTTCACCCTCCCGCGCTTCTGACTGTACCCAGTGCATGTATAAACAAAACAAAAAAAAACAAAACAAAACAAATAAATAAATAAAAACATGCCTCTATTAAAAAAAAAAAAAAAAAGATTTATGTATTTATGCATACAAGAACTGGGGTGCAGGCCAAAGTTGTGGGGTGAGAGGATTCACCAGAGATAGAGTGGGGAGCAGAACAGGCAGATCGACTGAAATAGACTGCTGAGGGGAGCAGCAGGTGAGACAGAAGAGGTCTGCTCGCCATGTGGGTTGCTTCGAGGCCGGCAGGGATCAAACTGGCACTGTAGAGGCTGCCGACAGCTTCACAGCACTGAACTCAACCACCTGCGCCACCAGAGAGGCCCAGGACCACACCATTTGGATGTATGCTACCACACCACACACACCACCAAGGCACCCATAGTCCTCTACCATAGTCCAAGGCACCCCTTCCCTACTTTTCTCATCATACTTCCCCAGCCCCTTTGGCAGCTTCCATTATACAGTCAGATTTCTAGGGTTTGTTACTGGTTTTATTTTGCCTGACCCTTGGCTTTTTTTCTCTATAGTCCACATATAAGTAAAATCATCCTGCTTTTGTCATTTTTCCTTCTGACTTATTTTGATTAGCATTATCCCCTCTGTTATTTGTGACTGCATAGACTGGGCTGTTATTTTAGATACTACTGTGATCACAGCACCTTACAGTTTAGTTGCTTTTCTTTGCTGTATTCTGAAACTATTGGTTAAAGTCCATTCTATCCACACAGACCTTATAGGTATTCTTTTTTTCCAAATTCCAAGTTTGAAAATGTCTTATATTGTTTGCAGTTACACATGAATTTTTAATTGTCTCAATCTCCTAGAATAAGAAACTACTATCTGAACAACTCTTTCACATAATAATTAACTAGAATACTGAACATTTAATGTTTCTATCTTTGGTTAAAGAGAGAATGAGAATATTTTCTAGTATTTTATCAGAATAATATCTAACAATACTGAACAGATGAGTGATTAATGTATAATAATATATAATTATCTAGATCATTCTGCAAAAAACTTTAAATTTACATTAAATGAAGAAATAAAAATAATTAGGATGCTTGAGTATTATAGCTAACTCTTTTATAAGCATAGAGGAAAATATGACTGAATAATTATGTAAGTTCTTGTTTTATAATTTCATTTCTTAACTTTAGAATTTATGCCATTCCTAGATCAGACTCAGTTAGAGAAAATAAGAACAAAGATTTCTAATTAATTAGCATACTGGTAAATCAAATGAACAGAAGAGTATAAATAACCTTTTATGTAGTTTGTTTCTTTGTGGATGGGTAAAAAAGATAAAAGAAATACATTGAATTTTATTTGTAGCTGAAATTCAGGAATAGAAAACACTTCTATTAATCTACACATGATAAATTAAATACATTTTTTATTTCAACAGCTTCTTTTACAAAATTGTCTTTTTTCCTTGCCTTTAGCTAAAATCAGTGGAAAAGAGAAAATAAATGCATTGAGTTTTATTTATAGTTGAAATTCAGGAATAGAAAACACTTTTATTTATCTTCCATTCATGACAAATTAAATACAGTTTTATTTCAGTGGCTTCTTTTGCAAAATTGTCTTCTTTTATCTTGCTTTTAGCTCAAATCCCTGTCAAGTATAAATTTTGCAAAAAAACCAGCAAGTCTTCTTATAAGCTTGCAGGATCCATATGACACAATCTACCAATGATTAGGAGTACAATTTTTCATCAAAATGAGCTAAGAGAAAAAGGCCAGGGGCTTAATGTTTAGGCCACATATATGGTAGTGGGTCCAAAGTTCTCATTCCTTTTGGTAGACTGTTAGGTCAAATTCTTGAGGATAGCAGCCATAGCTCTTTCCTGTCACTAATAAAGGGTAAACTATGTGAGTGACTCCTCACTGAGCACAAGTTGACACTTGATTGTTGTGTAGTAGATGGAGTGAGACTGGACAGAAAATCTTGTGAGAAGTGGTTTATCTGCAGAGAGCAAACCGTGCCTTTCCTTTTTTCAGACTGAAATGCCCTGTTCTTCATCCTTGTTGCGTGTACCTTTTCTCCCTACCACAAATCCAATGTTAAGAAGCTGTACTTGTGAGTGCAGTTTATTCCAGCAGTATTCATCTAAACAAAATTAGTCAAGTAGTTTGTTGCAATCCACCAAGACCTCTCTTAAGGTGAGAATTATTTATTGAATTATTTTTCACTTAAGTATCACAAAAATGTCTGTAAAATTTTTGACAAAATGTAAACTCTCTTTGAATTTCTTTAAATTCTCTTGTTCATATGAACCTTTGCTTAAGCTGCTGTAAATATTAAACTCTTACTGTAAGCAGTGGAAACCCTGCAGCCTGTGCTTCTTTTTAATCTACAGGAGAAGACATTGCTGATTTGTGTTATTTAATATTGGTAAATATAAGTATGCTGGGGTGATTTCCATTGTCTGTGCCCACTAAAGCATGTAAAATCAGTTTTTTTGTTTTTTTTGTTTTTTTGTTTTTTGCTTTGAAGTGAGAAAGAAGTTAGCCAGACATTGTTACTGGGGTGATAAAATTTATTCAGATCATCATGGCTATATATTTTCATCATTCTGGAAAACAAAAAACTGCTTAGGCATTGTTTATAAAGCTTTCACAGAATGATGCTGTTAAGAGACCTCTAATGAGACATTTGAACAAGTGATTTGTAGTTACACCTTTAGCACTATATTTATATCTAATAGAATGTATGACTTCTCAGTTATGAACCACAGAAGCATGTTTATAGGCTTGGAGAAAAAAGTTGGGTGTTTTTTTTTCCCTAAACCTATATTTCTGCTTTTAAAACCAGAATTGATTATTCATATATGCTTGGCTTGATAAATATTTATTGACCTCATAATTTTTAATTAAATAATGAGTGAATAAGTGAATGGATATTCTACAGTGCCATCAATCTTTTACTGGTCTCCTGAACTGACATCCTTCTTAAGGAACTCTGGGCAGAGCCTAGTTCTGAAGTCAAACAAATTTCCCACTGATGACTAATCAATGCTAATTAACATTCATTTAGATCATTGTTTTGAATGAGGAAGCCAAGATGGCAGGCTTTAGTAGATCATTGAAAATAGAATCACTGTAGTTAAATTTGTGAATTTAAATTTCTGAATCTGCAAATTCAAAAACTGAGTAGCTATGACTTTATCAAGCTCAAATAAATTAGTCTCTTTAGGGCTTCTGGCATTTTATGAAGGAAAAATCCTTTGGTCAATTATTTACCTGTAAAATAATCAGGCTTGATAGAAATTATGTGACCAAAGTACTTTATTTTATTTTTTTTTTTTTAAAGAGGCATGTATTTTTATTTATTTATTTATTGTTTGTTTGTTTGTTTGTTTGTACATGCACTGGGTACAGTCAGAAGCGCGGGAGGGTGAGAGAATTCACCAGAGTCAGAGCAGGGAGCAAAGCAGGCAGAAGGACCGAAGTACACTACTGAGGGGAGCAGCAGGCGGCAGGAGAGGTCTGCATGCCATGTGGGACCCTCCTCCAGTGGCCGGGGAGCAGCCGGGGATCGAACCGGTGCGGGTGGTTTGCTGTTGTTAGAGGTGGTGGTATTGGTAGAGGTGGTGAATGGATGTGTTGTACAACAAAGAGAAAGGAGAGAAAGCAAATGGAAGTTAGGATTGAGAGTATTTGTGATGGTTTTCATCCTCACTTACAGGTAAAATCTTTTACTCTCAGGACCTCCCTGGTGGTGCAGGGATTAAAGACGATGCTATCAACCTATTGCTAGCCACTGCAGCACTAGTTTGATCCTGGCCAACCTGCCAGAGAGCAACCCACATGGTGCAGCAGATCTCTCCTGCCTTGCCCGCTGCTCCCCTCAAAAGTGGATTTCAGTGGCTCTTCCTGTTCTGCTCTGCACTCTCTCTGGTGAATCCTCTCACCCCCTATACCTCTGGCTTACACCCCAGTTCTTGTATGTATAAATAAATAAATCTTTAAAAAAATCTTTTACTCTCAGAGAAATACCATTTCCTGGGAAATCACATGTTAATCCCATAGAAATTACGAGTTGAACATGCATGAATGGGCATTACTTCAGTTCTGGAGAATATGAAGAAGAAAAAAAATACAGCCCTTTCCCTAAATAGTTAACAACAGAGATAGGAAATAAGTGGGAGAATACACTCCTGAAATGGATAAGAAACATGTTTTGAATTAGGTGAAATTATAGACATATAATTATGATATTGAGCATTTACTATTGAAGTGAGACTTTTCTTGGTAATGAGAGTGCCTAAAGGACTTTATTATCTGAGAATGAAAAAAATATATATGTTGCTTCCCTAAGGCTTCATGAAAAAGATAAGAAAAAGAAAAAGCCTGCATAGTGAGTCAAAGAATTAAAATATTGTTTATTTTTATCTTGTGCCCAAAGAAATTTAGGTCATTCCAAGCACAGGTTAATAGTGAGATGCACAAAATCCAAGAAGGATCAAGTGATCATTTCATCCCCCACTGATGAAGAGCCCTAGCATGGTAGAAGGAAGTTCTTTTATTTTATAAGATAGAGATTAGTAACTGAAACTCTGGATAAGGTAATCATTAACAAAGAATCATTAACAAGGAATCCATACTCACTGTAAAGATTCTAATTTTTCTTAATGTAAATGTATATTTATTCCCAAAATCTTTTCATAGAACACCAAAACCTTTTCTGGAAATACAGAAAAATACAGGTCTTCTCATTGGAGTTTATTGTGATGTTTTTTGCATAAACTAAATACATAATGTATTATTTGTAATTTCTAGTTTTAATGGTTTTTAATGAAGCAAGCACTTAAATACCTTTGTGAGGCATACTGAGTGAAGAATATTGACTTTTTTAAAAATAATTTTCCTGAATAGGGAGGAAAAGCAGCAGGTCCCTGAGAGAACTGGGACATGGAAGACAAAAGGGCAACTCTGGCAAACTGCCCAAAGAAGAAAGTTGCCGTAAGAGAGGACTAGAAGGGAGGACAGCTCAGAACCTGGCTACCCTCCCCCACCCACAAAGTCAGCACTCTCCGACCAACAGAAAGGAGGAAAAAAAAAACAAACCTAAAACAACAAACAAGAACAAACTGCTGATCAAGCAGGACTGTGAGTGGAAAGGAAATATTTCAGGCACCACACCCTGTGAACTGGAACTGTGGAGAACCATGCTGGAATCGCTGCGGAGGTGAGCAAACAGTTCCAGGTGCCATTAGAGAAAAACAGACTCCAAGGAGACCTACAAATAGCCCAAGGCCAGCTGGTAAGCTTGTGCAGAAAAGAAAAGCTATACGCTTGAAAAGCATATGCAGATCATGGCTGCCCAGGTCCCCGCTCCTGTAACCTAGGCTTGCGGGGAGATGTGCGGGGGCCCTCATTGAGGTGAATGTCCCTCACTGAGTAATCAGAAACCAGGCGCCCAGACACGGGAGTGGAGTGCAAAAGGCGCCATTTCTGTGGACACTGAACTGGGCTACAGCCCATGTCCTGGATCTGAGGGCTTTGGAGCTGAGACCCGGGGCATGAAATTCAGGGCATGGGATCCCCAGGACGGTGGGGCACAGGGCAGACACAGCAATCCCATACCGTTGAGGCACTCCACGCCACTCCCACTCTGTTCCCCGAACCTGCAGGGTAAAAAAATAGTTCTGGAAGGACACTAGGAAAGATCTCTGGCGCCACCTAGCGACCAGAAAAAATCACCAACACCTTATAGTTGGAAACCAGGTACCCCCAAAAACATTCTCAGGCTCTGAGAGAGGGTGGGCCACGCAAACAGGGGTAAGGAGGGAAATAAGGCATGGAGCAATACTCCATCCTGGAACTGAGAGCCAGGCACAGGATCCAGGGTGTGGGATGTGCCACAGTAGCAGGCACTGCACAGAAGAGAATGGAGTAACATTTAGCAAACTTCAAGACAGCAAATGCCAACCAAGAATACTTTAACCTGAAAAGCTCTCCTTCTTCTACAAAGAAAAAATATGGACCTTCTCAGACAAATAGAAACTCCAGAAATTCATTACAACTAAGCCCTCACTCTAAAAAATTCTACAAGAAGTCCTAAAGCCAAAACCAACAGAGGAATGAACAAGAACAGAATAAAGCAAGGAATAAAATCACAAAAAAAGACAAACAAAATGGCAAACACAGATGCCAACATATCAGTATTAACCCTAAATGTAAATGGATTAAACTCATCAATAAAAAGACACAGAGTAGCAGGCTGGATTAAAAACCAAAATCCAACCTTCTGCTGTCTCCAGGAAACACGCTTAACCACAAAAGATAAACACAGACTGAAAGTAAAAGGTTGGAAAACAATCCTACAAGCAAATGGACCAAAAAGAAGGCAGGAACAGCCATACTTATATCAGATGAAATAGACTTCAAATTAAAAAATGTAATAAGAGACATAGATGGACACTACATTATGATCAAGGGAACAATACATCAAGAAGATATAATACTCATCAACATATACTCACCAAATGAAGGGGCACCAAAATATATTAGACAATTATCAGCTCTGAAAACAGATATTAAAGAAAATACATATATAGCAGGAGACTTCAACATCCCACTCTCACCAATGGACAGATAAATGAGACAAAAAATAAACAAAGACACTAGAGCCCTAAATAAAGACATAGAACTCATGGACTTAACAGACATGTATAGGACACTGCACCCAAAAAAATCCGAGTACACATTTTTCTCAAGTGTGCATGGATCATTCTCCAGAATCAATCACATACTGGGCCACAAGACAAACATCAACAGACACATGAAAATCAAAATAATTCCAACTATCTTCTCCGATCATAAAGGCATCAAGCTAGAAATAAATCATAAAAAGAAAACCATCCCACTTCATGGAGATTGAAATCCACACTACTGGAAGACTACTGGACTAATGAGATCAAAGAAGAAATTAAAAAATACTTTGAATTGAATGACAAGGAGGACACCACTTTCCAGAATGCATGGGATGCAGCAAAAGCAGGAAGAAGAGGAAAATATATAGCAATACAGGCTCACATCAAAAAAACAAGAAAGAACTCAAAGAAACTATACTACAAAGCCATAACAATCAAAACTGCATGGTATTGGAAGAAGAACAGACACATGGACCAATGGAACTGAATAGAAAACCCAGAAATAGCCCACAGATTTATGGTCAACTAATCTTTGACAAAGGAACAAAGAATACGCACTGGAGCAAAGAAAGTTTGTTCAGTAAATGATGCTGGGAAAACTGGGTTGCTACATGCAAAAGAATGAAACTTGACTACTACCTCACACCATGCCTAAAAACCAACTCAAAATGGATTAAAGTACTAGACATAAGACCTGAAACCATAAAATCAATAGAAGGAAATAAAGGCGAAACACTACATGACATGCACCTCAAAGACATCTTTACAGACATATGACCCAAAGCAGTGATAGTGAAGGCAAAGATAAACAGCTGGGACTACATCAAATTAAAGAGCTTCTGCACAGCAAAAGAGACAATAACAAAAACAAAGAGAAACCCCACCAACTGGGAGAACATTTTTGCACACAACACTAATGATAAAGAACTGATCACAAAAATCTACAAAGAGCTGATGAGACTCAACAAAAACAAAGAAAATAATCCAGTCAAAAAATGGGCAGAAGAGCTAAAAAGAAACTTCTCTAGAGAGGAATTGCAAATGGCCAACAGGCATATGGAAAAATGTTCAATGTCACTTGCAATCAGGGAAATGCAAATCAAAACTACAATGAGATACCATCTTACACCAATGAGAATGGCACATATTAAAAAAACTAGCAACAACAAATGTTGGCAAGGATGTGGAGAAAAAGGAACTCTCCTGCACTGCTGGTGGGAGTGCAAACTGGTCCAGCCACTATGGAGAGCTGAGTGGAGATTTCTTGACCTACTAAACATAGAGCTTCCATATGATCCAGCAATTCCACTCCTAGGTATTTACCCAAAGGACACAGAAACATTTATTCCAAAGAGCACCTGCACCCCTATGTTTATAGCAGCACAATTTACAATAGCTAAGCTTTGGAAACAACCCAAATGCCCAAAAATAGATGACTGGATCAAGAAGATGTGGTACATATACACAATGGAATATTACTCAGCATTCAAAAATGATAAACACATGCAATTTGCAGCAACATGGATGGAGCTGGGAGGGATCATATTCAGCGAAATAAGCCAGAAAGATAAAGAAAAATACTGGATGGTCTCACTCATAGCAGGAATCTAGAAAACCTAAATAAGGGATCAGGAAAAAGAATATAAGAAAGAAAAAATCAAAATCAACAAACACCTATAAACCAGAGACACACTATGGGTGGGGGGAAGGAGGGATTGGGGTCAAAACAAGGGAGGTGCAATTGTATGGGGGATATAAAAATTAAAATAAATAAATAATAAATAAAAAAATAATAGGCCCACTCAGCACCCAAGGTCAGCATGGAAACCGCTGGGCCAAGCATAGGTGGGGGGATGAGACAAAGAGGGGGGCACCACTTGACAAAAAGCAAGTCCCCTGCCTGGTCACATGTCCATGAGGTCCTGGACGTCCAGAGTGGGGCTACCCTGTTTGGGCAGGTCACAGCCCCAGTGGGAGCCTGGATGCCAGGGGTAAGGACCCACCTGACCATGGGTTCACGCTGTAGGGGCTGGTTGGCCTGGCAGAGCAGTTGGGAATGCTACGTGAGAGCTGTGTGGTGTTGGCTGGCCGAACTGCCTACTGATTGGTTGCACCAGCAAGACCCAGGTGAGATGGGCCTTATAATTGGCTGGCTTGTGAGGGTGATGTCAGAGGAGGCATTGTGACTCACAAGAGTTCCATTTGGAAGGTGTATAAAGCCGGTCACTGGGCCTACTCCTCACTTTGGAGTGATAGCTCTCTTGGAGCAGGTGCTATTTGCCTTGCCCTGTACTATGGCGTCCAACTCTGCCTCGGCCTCTAGGCCCATTCAGCCTGTCCTAGACCACTCGGCCTGTCCCTGGCCACAGGCCCAAACCCTCCTCTCGACCTTCATGCTGGCACACATCTTTGACCATCTCTGTGGCCTCCTTGAGTCTCCGCACCCACACTAGAAGACTGCAGGTGTCTAGTGACCTTCTAGGTGTCTCAGGGACCCTGGCCAAACTGGTTGCTTACCTGGTTCCATGGTCAGAGGGCCGTTGGCCGGGTAAGAAGAATGGTAGTGGCCCCCAGTCCACTGTGGCACAAGCCACTGTGCTCTCAGGCCTGAAACACTGAAGACAGGTCCCTGGGTTTCCCAAGGACAGTCATCCAGGCCTGGGAAACCAAGTCCAGCACCTGAACAGAAACACCACCCACCACATGGGGCTGTGGCCAGGCCTTGCTGAGCCTCCCCAACCAGCACCTCTGTTAGAACCAGATCCCAGGAGCTTGAGCTCCTGGTGAGGTAAAGACCAGGTGTGGCTGCTGCCAGCACCCACACAGACACCCAGCTCATAAGCTGTACCACCAGCCACGGCCATGACACCAGGCCCAGTGCATACCGCTTACGCCACTGGAAGCTGCGTGTGGGACCTGGTGTCCCCACTGTCCACCTGTAGAACATCTGTCCTGGGACTCGCTCCTCGGGCCATCGTGAGCTCCTGGGACCTGGTACCCCCACCATCTGCCATTGAAATATCGTTAGAACACCAGGTACCAGGCCCAGCACATGGCCAACTTATCCAGTGCCCCAACCCCAGAACCATCTGTCCTCAGAGTTGTCCTCCCAGGGATGTGGCCTGAGGAGGTCCTATTTATGACTCTTGTTGGTGGGCTCCAGAAAGGTAGTGGCTGGTGTCCAGGGGAGGGGGCCTGGCTGGAGCTTGGGGCAGTTCATAGAATAGTCTCCCTCATGTCTCCCTATGTTGAGGTGCTGGCATGCCCCTGGGTCAAAGACCGATAGCTTGGAGCCATCTTAATTCAGGTGAACTGGGGGCTTGTTATGTGGTGGGCCCTTTATTTGGTGCTTGGTAGGTGGGGGCCCCTTTGAAGAACAGAAGCTGTAAGAACTGCTCCTGGGTGTCCAGCAGTGCTGCTACTGGAAGGCCCAGATCGAGAGCTGGAGTCTTTGCCTTTCCTCAAATGTTTACCCCCAGGAGGCCAGGGAGAGGCCTCACTGGGTTGCCGGTGGCCTTATATTTTATAAATAAATAGTTTTTTTGGTCACTCCAAATTTTTTTTTTCCTCCCATCCTTTGTGGTTTTACACTCATTTAATTTAACAC